GGGGGGGGGGGGGGGGGGGGGGTGGTTGGTGATTATGACTGCTGACAAAGGCCGCCGAGTAGAGCTGATTATCTAATCACTGATCTATCCCTCCGGCCATTTACTTTTTGATCTAATCACACGAAAGCCCTCTCATTTTGATGCATGTGTCATTAGTGTTCAATTTCTCTTTCTTTGTTATGCAGAGTCCATTGTATAGAAGGTTATGGGGTCCTGTACGGCGTCTTGAATCGATACATCCACATGCGAATCCCAGAGGAAACTACGCAGGTTAGATCATGAGTGTCTTGTTAGTGAATATTGGATTAGTTGTTGCTTCAATGAGTTTCTACTACAAAAGAAACGATATTATATTTGCCCCCTGAAACTTAGTCAAACAAATGGTGGAAATAGGAATTTGTATTTACCTTGGGTTGTTATGATAATTTAGTGACAACAATTGTAATTTTTTTTTCTCTAGTAAACAATGCTATTGTAATTCTTGTTCTTTTAGATAACGCGGATGTGTAATAATTTTGGTATGCTATGCAGTATGCACCTTGCATTTACATTCTGCTATATATATAACTTAAGTCTAGTATGGTTTCGGTGAATGAGTTTTACTGTGATAACTATGGATTAGGGGTTCGGGAAACATTGAGTTCTTAGTTGATAGCACAGTCTGTAACTTCTTTTTACAGATCCCGCTCGACAAACTAATGGCTTTCTTTTTGTAAGGATTCGAGGTGGTTTTCACGAGATCAGGAACTCGGTGAGGATACTAGCCTTAACATACCAAACTTGGTTTAAGACCTTATACATAATATTTATTGAGAAGGTCTTGATCTTCTAGATTTGCGATGTTGTTGTGGTTTCTCGTCTTCTCAATGCTACCTTAGTCATTCCTGAGCTCCAATCAACTACAAGCAGCAAGGGAATCAGGTTTCGGTCTTTCCTCGTTCTTTTTGGGTCTAAACCATTAGAGAACTGCCATATAAATTTTACTTGCACTAATTTAATTAAACGGTGATTGTGGTCATTGATATACTCTATTATTTATGTCATGCAGCTCAGAGTTCAAGAGTTTTCCTTACCTCTATGATGAAGATCAGTTCATGGCAGCGTTAATAAAAGATGTCAAAATTGTGAAAACCCTTCCAAAGGAACTCAAAGGAGCAAGGAGAAAGAAAGAAATCCCTTCGTTTAAAGTGCATAGCTCGTTGTCTCCTTATTTTTATCTGCGCCATGTTTTGCCAGTATTAAACAGACATTCGGTGGTTGAATTAGTTGTTTCTGATGGTGGATGCTTGCAGGTAATGATTGCTATCATATATCTTCTTTTAATTGCATAGCTAAACATTGTGAACTTATTGTGATACATTAATGACTCCGAACAGAATTTCAAAGTCAAAACAGCAGCGACCAAATTTTTCATAAGATGGTTCACTAGCCACATGTTCTCCTACCTCCTCGTTCTTTTGTATTTATCTCTCTGGTTATAGATTTGTAACCATGGGGATTTTAAAAATTATTGGTAAAAAAAAGTAGCTCAAAATGTCTTATAGTGACGCTGTTTGGATCAGTGAAAGGACTTAGTTCTGTGGCATATGTGATTTGACGCATGCTTAACTTTTTCTATGTCAATCTTGAGTATTATTTTCCTTTTCCTGATGGTATTTGTATTCTTTTTGTTTTCGCGTGGGTGTACTTAATTGAACGCTGCTCATGGATTGCAACTTTGTTAACTGAAACTTAGAAGCCAAAGGAATTGCTGATTAATCGTTTAAAAGGAGGTGTGGTAATGAGACTGGAAAATACTTTACTTTATAAAATCATAGGTTGAATTTTCTATGATAATGAACTCCAATGCATGCATACATGCAAAACACATGTAAAATTATGTATATATGATATATAAGAGGGATGGAAGTATAAAAATGGTAGAATTCAACAACAATACCCATACTTTGCAAGTAATTCACCTATAACTATAGTAATCATTGTAGTCAACTTTCAAGAGAACTATAATATAGTTTCTTGATATGTTAAAACATAAGCAATTGGTATATGGACACTTCAAATAGGTGAAGTACTTTCATTGGACGAAAATGACTTGTCGATGGGCGTGGGATGTGCATTGAACGTGCCCATTCTCGGATATAACACCAAAATGATGAAAAGGACATGCCTATGGTTAACTACAAGTCCGGAGAGTACCTTTTTTGGTTTCTCCGCTGTATGAGCATATCATTGGAGTGAGGTGCTTCCATCCAACAAATTGTGTTATGTGATCATTTTGCTGTAAGGAATATATGAAAATTGGAGAATTGGATACATTCAACTGTATCTCTATGTACTTAGGTTTAGAGATCAGAAAGCATATGAGTCAGGTGCCAATAGCATTGCTGACCAAGATGGTGGTTACTGGTTAGGAATTAGTTTTGTCCAAGACTTCTGCTGTGTTTCTTGCTTAATTTTTCTAGTCCTTGTGTTCCTTTATTCTAAATGAGGAAAACACGATAGGTATAGTAGCTTTTGGGAACCCAAAGATATTGCAGCTAATGATTTGATTGCGTTTTACTGCAATCTTACATGGAATACATACTTCAGTGTTACATATAATGGGAATATAGTTGTCATGTTAGAATGCTAGAAACTGTGTGCAAGGGCTAGGCTCGATTTGCTCTTCTAATTGGAATGTAGTGTACTACTTCTGATTGATATTAGTCGGGAAGGGAATTAGAGAATGAGAAGCGAAGATGAAGGGGAGAAAAAGAATAAGAGTAGAGCAAAAATAATATCTCAATCGATCAATTAATCAAAGTCTCTCAAAACAGGTATATTAGAGTATCTCCAACCATGACTCAAATTTTTACTCAAATTTAAATTAACATTTGAGTAAAAAGTTTTATTTGATATAAGGGACTCTAATGGACTAATTCATATTTAAAGAATGAGAGACTCAAATTTAAACGAGAGCAAACCCAAATTTAAAAAAAAGTAAGGATGACTATTGGATCTTTAAAAAATAGTAAAATCTCACCATTAAAGATTTGAGTATCCCTTAATTTGAGTAAAAAAATGAGTTTTCCTTGATTTGGTATAAGTTTGAGTCAAGGGTTGGAACAAAGTTTTTAGACTTTTTTACTAAAATTTAAATTTGAGTCTAAATTTGAGTAAGGATTGGAGATGCCCTACATATAGGGAGTACAAAAACCCTAAAACACATAATCCACATGACAAACAATTCCCCAAGAATAAAAATGGCAAATAAGTTATAATCTTGATGTTTACGTCTAATCAATGGGTCTTTGGTCCAATGGTACTTTTTATCTTGTGAAAATTTTGTTTTTTGAGATCAAGAGTTCAAGTCCCTTCTCCACCCCCCACCTCCCACTCCCAAAAAAAAAAAAAAAAATGTCTACTACAACAAAAGCCATTGAGACAGACAATCTGATTCCCATCACTAATCTCAACCTATAAACATTGTGGATAAATGCACTAACATGTGGAATGTTCCCAAGCAGTGGCGGAGCCAGAAATTTTTTTTAGGGTGGGTATACTAGCATGTTTTAATTTTTTTTTAATAGATCGTAAAAGTTCATAAATTTATATTTATTAAAATTATATTTAATACTTTTTAGACATAAAAAATTAAAAATTGATATACATAACATGAACAAAAAAATAATAATTAAAACTTTTTATTGAGAATATAACTCATTATTATTACTTATAATTGATTATGATATGTTTTTATTATTTGAAAGTCACAAATTAATTTTATCAACAATATTTTTTTTATATATAAATCGCAGTAACAATCTTCCATTTACGATCCTATAATTTATTATATAACGACACACATTTTTATACAATAATGAAATGACCTTGCAATTTTAAAAAATTATAAAATAATATCAATATATTTAAAACATATTCAGACATGTCTAAAGGTTAACAATTATATTAGTTGTATCTAACTTGAGATTTAATTGATGGAGACCCAATGATTTGTGACCATTGGATGGATAGTAGAGTGTATTAAATATTAAGACTCACTATTATACTTAATATCGGAATGTATTAAGTCTTTAAATTAGGTTTCAATAATATTATTCAAAAAGTTAACAATCATTTATGTAGGGGTCTATTTAAATAAATATCACCAGAAGACAATATTAGGGTGGATACAATTAATATGTCTATATTTTATTTCAAAAAATACATCCTTAATATGAAGCAAAAAAAAATTGAGGGGGGGGGGGGAGAAGTTTTGTTTTTAATGTTAGGCCAAAAGTTTTATTTTTTTATTAGGTTTGGGTGGATTGTGATAGGTCAAGTATTTGATTTTTTAATAAGTTTGGGTAGATAGTGGTGGGCTCAAATTTTTTTGTTTTAAATGGGCTTAATTTTTTAATTATTTTGGGTAAATAACATGGGTCTAACATTTTTATCTTGAGTTTTAGGTGGGCATAAATAATATATTATACAAATATATAATATATATACCTAACTAATAATAAAAAAAAAAGTTTAGGGGGGGCTCTTGCCCACTCAGGCCCATGCCGCCCTCCGCCCCTGTTCCTGAGAGTTTTTACTTTCTAGTTGATGTCACCTTTCAAAGAGATGCGAGAGATTGGTTTTGGGAATAATTATATACTCTTTATGGAATTACAATTTTTTTTGTTTTGGAATATAACTGTGAGGTGCTTATCATGCAGTGTTTTCTTGTTGGTGCTCGCGTAGGACTAGGGAATATAATGGTGTGGTGAGTTTATTTTTTTAGAAATATGATTTTACCCATTGGGCATATTACCGCATGGGTTTGGATTACAGGATTCGAGTACATATCAACTTTTTGATTGAAATGTTTCCTGTCCTTTGATAATAAGATTAACAGGCAGACTACACTTAACTTAGCAGACTAGTTTTCCTGCAACTTCTTCATTTATACTTTTAAGTTTTAAGTATGTGCCTTCATTTTGTCATCATCAACTTTTTTCCTCCATGTCTGATTTTCCCCAGTGGAAACTATATGGTGTATTTAAATTATAATGAAGCTACAATGTCATCAATCATCATACAACCTAATTGAAACTTTCTGTGCCTTATGAATTGATTACTATGTTCACTTCAACTGACACAGGCCATACTTCCTACCCATCTTGAAGAATATCAAAGGCTGAGATGTAGGGTTGCTTTTCATGCCCTGAGGCTCCGGCAGGAGGTCCAGGAACTTGCCACCAAAATTTTGAATAGGTCAATCACATGCTCCCATTATCTATCATTCAATTAAGCTTTGTGTAGGTTCTCTATTTATTTTTGGTGTTCTTACAGGTTGAGGGCTCCTGGAAGGCCATTTATAGCATATGATCCAGGGATGACCAGAGATGCTCTAGCATATTATGGTTGTGCAGAACTTTTCCAGGTACTTGTGTGAAGTCTTGAAGGCATGATTTATAATGCAGTATTGAGCTCTAATTAGAAAGCTTCTGCAGCATTTGACGTATTTTTGTGTCCCTCAATTCTTCTTAAGGACGTACATACAGAACTCATTCAGCATAGACGATCATGGATGATCAGACGTGGTATCATCAAGGGGAATCTTTCTGTGGATTCAGCATTGCAGCGCCTTAATGGTTCTTGTCCGCTTATGCCAGAAGAGGTGAGATATTGTGCATCTTAACTGTCATCATAATATTCTTGCAGTTACATATTTCAAAGATAAAATAGTTCTGATACCCTTTGAAGAAAGATGATATGGTGGCTTGGTTTCTTTGATTGCCCAGAATCCAGCTGCAGAGTTACACTTCGTTGATGGAGTGATTTTATTAATAAGGAACAGGTTGACTAAAATTTTGACTTTTTTCTAAGCAATATGACATCACCTGTCATGTCATGCTGTGCAGTTGTGAAAGGGTACTGAATAAAACAGGTCAGAATGAAGCCATACACTATACATGGCTCATGACTTCTTTCAGTTGTTAAAGGCATCTCGGACTGGAAATTTATTAGTATAGGTAAAGTAGATGAAAGTAAAATGGGCTTATGTTGTAAGCAACTCTGCCTCTGCAGGTTGGTATTCTACTTCGTGCATATGGTTACTCATGGGATACAACAATTTTTGTGTCTGGGGGAGAGGTCTTTGGTGGCCAGAAGAATTTGATTCCACTACATGCTATGTTTGAAAATGTTGTTGACAGGACCTCCCTAAGCACACCATGGGAGCTAAATAAAATATATGGTCGTGAGAGTATCCTTATTGACAAACATCCAAGAACTCTGCCTTCTGTTAAGGAAGAACAGAAACAGAAACATGACGCATGGAAAACTAAAGGCCCACGTCCTCGCCCCCTTCCACCACCACCCGCACGGCCCAAATACCCATATAATATTGAAGGCTGGTGGGGTTGGGTAGCTGAGAGTGACAATGAGCCTGAGAGTACAGTTATGGAGTTGAGGACTAACGCCCACAAACTATTATGGGAAGCTATTGACTACGCAATCTGTGTGGAAGCTGACGTGTTCATCGCTGGATTTGATCATGATGGTAAAGGACATCCAAATTTTGCAGGCTTGGTAATGGGGCACAGACTCTATCAGTCGGCTGCATCTAAAACATACAGACCAGACAGGTAATTTTAGTCATGAAACCTCTCTTGGCAGTTCTTCTTTGTGCCTTTTTTTCCTCTTGGGTGGGAACTTCTGCACAAACAAATTTGTGGACCAAGCTCAATTTACCCCTTTTGTCCTGCAATCCTGCATAGCCCTTGCTATCTCTCTTCATAAAAGTAAGAACATCCCAGAACAGTTTAAAGCAGTGATAAAGAGATAAATCAATGTTAGGGTTTGACCTGAATCACTCTTTAGCTGCTGTTAATTAGTTTTGACGCCAAGACTGTTTTGGACTGAAATGTGAACATCTACAGCTCAATCTCATCCATCGATGAAATGAACATGCAAAAGATTGGATTGACCAGTTGAAGGTCCACAATTTTAGTGGGACTTTCCTTATTTCCCCACTAGACATAATTGATTTGCTTTTATCTCATCCATGGAAGAGGACATTGAGTGGTCATTTTCTGGACTTCTATGCAATATCTTTATTAGCCACATGAACCATATGCAGCACCCTAAACTACAGACATATGATAAACTGCATGTGAGGTTTGGCTGATTCTACTTATGCACTGTGTCATGCACAATAATTATTGACAATTGTGAAGCAGTGGTTTTGGTCTAATTCTATCTGTGACTGCTTCTCCAGAACATTTTAGAAATTACACGGACTGTTTGGCAGGAAAGATAAAACAGAGTAAGACAGGAATCGAAATATTAGATCGCATCACTTTCTTAACTCTTAAGCAATTGTGCTCGGTATGTTGTACACTTCATTCTCCAGTTTCATAATGGTTTTATTGTCATATCTATACTCTATCTTGGTGTCAGTTCTAAATTTACTTTGGTAGGTGTGTACTTTTATGCTCGTTGTTGCACTGCTGCGTGTGAGCCACAAAAGGAAGCTCCATGTATAAATAGAAACCAGGATGATTTAGTTTTTATTTATATGCACAAGACCTGCAGAAAACATGTCAATTTTCTGTGTCAATAACTGTTTATCATTTCTTCTTGTTTCCATTCATAGAAAAGAAGTTGTGAAGCTTTTGGAAGAGATACGAGACCACCTTTATCAAGCCAACCATACATGGATTAGATCAGTACGCAGGCATCTGCGAAGAACCTTACTTGATGGACTAACAGAAGATTCCGTGCGATCAAAGCCACTATCTTTTCTCTCTTTCCCAGTTCCTGAATGTTCTTGTATGAGGCATGACACTGCTGAAACATCATTCCATGCTTCAAGTCCTTCGGCTCACTCACAACTCCAACTTGCTATCGGAGTTATGAACCATTGCCCTTCTTGGATGGACAGTGATGTGATATCCCGACCAAGAGACAAGGACAGTGAAGAAGATCTTGACGAGGATGATTCTGCTTCATCTGGCTTGTTATTTGGGCAGACTGGAAAATATGAAAGTGGAGGTGGAGATATAAACAACAAAGAGGAAGCTCCAATGGAGGATCAAGAAGAAATGGAGGGCGGAGAAAGATGATGTGAGGCTGAATTAGATTGCCATACGATATCTCTTTGGGCGCCCTTAAGCAGAACCGGCCTTTGCTTGTTAGTCATGTACATATGACGTAAGTTACTGATTTCAGAGAGGTCACTAATTGTTTAGGATTCAGTTTTGTTCTATAGCTAGTCACAGTCAGTAGTTTAATTGTAGCCCTTCTTGGGAATATAGTCCTTCCTGTGAAGCAGTTTTGATTCAGCCCAATATATATTTTTGTAGAATACTGTTCTAGGAAGCATTCTTACTCTGCCTCAAATTGATGTAACAGAGACCCCCAAAAAAAGAAGGTTATTTGTCTGATCCACCTGATTGAATGAGCAATATGTGATCTTCAATCAATTGAACAAGTGAAAGAAAACACTGGGTTTTGTAGTTTGTGATTGTTATGAACAAAGACCACAAGCAAAATAAAATGAAACAAAATAGAAAAATAGTACATAAATTTATGTGAATCAGCTTAAAAGCCTATTCTACTGGAAAAATGCATCAGCAAAATATTACTATCAACAAAGAGAGATTACACAAAATTCTCTAACCCAGAAAATAAAATCCAAGTATACATGCCCAAAACTAGGGGCTAAAAACCCAAAAAAAATTGAGTGATCTATAATCTATTTAAATACTCAAAATATTTTATCTCTTAATACAATAAGGTTTTTAATTGGTCTTTTACTTGAAGTAGAATTCTAAGACATCTACCTTTTTAAATCCCTAAAGAGAATAAAGTTTAAATAAATTTCCTATTAGGGCTGGAATCCAAGACACCCACAACAAATCTCTACCTTAGCTTGTATTCCATCAAACAATCAAAACAAAAGCGAACTAACTAGCTGCCTTCTCCATAACTCCCATGAGAGAATACAAATATCAAAAACATCTATAACAAATCTCTGCCTTGACTTGTACATCCATCAAGCCATAAAACCAAAAGTGAATTTTTCAGCTACTTTCTCCACAATAGCAAATCTATTGAATCTCCATCAGCGTTGATCATAATATCTCATAAAGAACTTTTGTCAAAAGATTCGTCATAGTAACGTCATGTATTTGGATCTGCCGTAAACTGAAATTATTCTGATCACCAAATTTTTCAATTTCGAATTTTATTATAGTCATCCCGAAACTAATAGCTCTAATACCAGTTTGTTATGAACAAAGACCATCGAATTTTTCTATCTCGAATTCATCAAATTTTTTTGTTGAGGGTTATTTCAGCCAAGAGATAGAACCACCAGTCAAATTTTGGTGAATTACTTTTATTAACTCCATTATTACTACTGCTGTCAAAAATGAGATCCGCAGTTTCCTGTTGTATTTGCATGCATATGGCTGAATTTTCTCTATAAATTTCCTCCTGTTGAATTGAGTGAGGAGGGGATAAAAGGAGCGAGATTTCTTCCTATGTACTTTTACTGATGAATTCAAGTGGGAATTAGATTCTGACTTATATATCGATGAGGAAGGGATTAAGGGAGTGAGATTTCTTTCAATATATTTTTACCATGAATTGAAGTGGAAAATTTGTTTCACATATATATCATTGAATGACCGTGAATGATTTACCAAGTAAAGTGTGTTTGAGGGGATAAGTTTATGTCTTTTACTCATTCGACTCTAAGATTAACCGTCATAGTTTGAGTCAGTTTTGAAGACATGTTTTTTAAAAAGCAAGAATGATTAACTTTTAAGATATGTGACTTGTGAGAAATACCGAGAGATCTACTTTATCACTAGACCATCCTAAGGGTTGGTTAACATGATTGGAATATGAAGGACTGAAGGTACAAGTTTGGCCGTATCATGCCAAAATCATTTTCTTCTTTGGGTAAATATCATGGCATTATCTTAATGGGCAGTAATGGGTTTGCCACAACCATCGTCCTCAGAGTGAGAGTCTAATTACTTTACTATTGTGCCATGTTAATTTTTTTAATTTACTCCATATTTATTTATAATTGTATTTAATTCAATTCATATCACAATAAATGTCACTTTCTTCGACGTCTTGCTTGATTGTATGTTTTTGAAGTTTTCAAAAGCAAAAAATAGTAATATATGTTTGGACAATGATTTACAAACCTCCTCCCCCCCCCCCTCCTTCATCTCCAGTCCCATCTCTCTCTTCATTATCTCCTCTCAATCTCCACTCACATAGCAAACACACACAGAATCCACACACATCGCATAATATAAATATATATATACTCACACACAGAGAGATCTGTGTATATATGCAGATCTAATGAATTCAGTAGAGAGAGAGAGAGAGAGACCTCCGATGAGTGTTGGTGTCTGCTGAACTGAGTTGCGAGAGAGATGGGTAAAAATGCTTTTGACGAAGCTCGAAGTCCAGACTTCATTAAAGAGTAGTGTGGTGTTTCCTCTGCTTTCATTTCTGGCTTGAAAACACAGAGAACACCATTTAGATGTTTCTAAGAAATGACTCCAAATGAGGTTATATTTTCTAAAAATTGAGAATGAAAACAACTAGTCAAAAAAAATTTCTTAATTTTTGTCGTTACTCAAAAGAGAAAACAATTTAAAAAAATATAACCAAACAAAGCCTTAATTTTCTAGACTTTTGCGTGAAGCTCTATTAAGCGATTTGCATTGATATTGGACATGTAATTATATTTGTGCGATAAATATGTGTTTGTTAATAATAATAATTAAAAAAAAAACTCAAAGATTTGGCTACTGTCTTCCGAATTTGCTCCATATATTGACAACCCTGGCAATGTGGCTAATTGCCTATAAATTGCCATCATACTAAGATGCATTAAAAAATACAGCATTTTGGGACTCATTTGGGATACATGGAATTAATTTTAAAAATTTAGGAGTGATCTTAAAAGACACAACTACAACTTGACGAACCCGGCCCAGATCAAATCTAGTTCAAAAATTATTGATCAGCCCAGGTCATAAGTGTAGTCTGACCTAGATCAGAAATACAAGTCAATAAAAACTAAGCCTATCGTCTTGAAAAACTCAGTCTACTACTGATCCACGTGAGATCTCTATCTTAGGAAAAGAATTAGGGTACGCATTGCAAGCCTCAACCACTTCGTCTGTTACGCCAACATCATGGAGCCATCCACTCCCATCACAAGGGTGACGCTTTAATCAGGGCTCCCCGCAATGGCGCCTCCATCAAAGCCCACTCTGGGGCGCTATGAAGACTGTATTCCTCTATAAATTATAAGTCTCACCTACACATGAGGGACATCACACACATCTCAGCACACTATACTCTTGAACAATAAAATTCTCTAGCCACCATAACCTTTCTCAATAGAGTAGGTCACCCAGACCGAATCCACCGAATCTTTGTGTTTTGCATACGGTAAGCCATTCTTACTTCATTCGTTGATTGATTTTGTATAAAACTTTTGTATATCATCACATTTACAAAAGTCATCAAATCGACTTGTTTTGTAGGGTAAATGCTTTAGTTTAAGTGAGCAGATCGACTTGTTTCAACAAACTCTACTGAATTGGAATTGCCGAAGCACTACACAAGCTCAGTAGAGCTCTCAGACTAAGAATACTTGTCAAAGTTGAATATTTGTGGTTTCTATGGGCAGTGTACATGTATTGACTCACAAGGTTAACTAAATAGGTGAGATCCGGCCGAGTTAAGGTGAGGTACTATAGTGATCCAACAAGACTACGAAACTGTTGAGGGTCAGTGAAAGTATCATTAGGATGATCAATTTTGGTAGGTAAGGGAGTGGATATGGGTTTACAATTTTCCATATTTGCTCTACTCAGCATTTCTTGAACATATTTGTGTTGAGAGAGTAACAGACCATGAGGAGTTTGTATTGCTTCAATACCAAGGAAATAGTGAATAAAACCTAAGTCCTTGATGGCAAAGGTTGCTTGAATGCGAGTAAGAAATGTATAAAGTAAGGATGGAGTATCACAAGTAATAATAATATCATCGACATAGAGTAAAAGGATGAGAATTCCTTGAGCAGTATGTAGAGAAAATAGAGAAGGACCAGGTTGTGAGCAGACAAAGCCCAAAGAGATAAGAAATTGACTAAAGCGATCGAACCAAGCACGTGGTGCTTGCTTAAGACCATAAAGTGCTCGTGATAGTTGACACACAGGATTTGGAGAAGATTGATCAATGAACCCTGGTGGTTGATCCATATAAACATAGTCTTTCAAATACCCATGTAAAAAGGCGTTCTTCACATCTAATTGTCGAATTTCTCAATTACGGGAAAGAGCGATGGTGAGAACAATACGAATAGATTGAGGGCAAACAACTGGGCTATATGTGTCAACAAAATCAATGTGGGAATTTTGGTGAAACCCTTTTGCAACCAAGCGAGCTTTTAAGCGATCAAGAGTCCCATCAGCATGTAGCTTAGTTTTGAATATCCATTTGCAACCGAAAATGTTCATGTGAGGACGATGAGGAACAAGAGTCCATGTGTGATTATTTGCCAGTGCCTGTAATTCATCACGCATAGCAACAGACCATCTAGGATCGGCTAAGGCTGCTTTGACAGTCTTGGGTTCTTTTGGCAGATCAGTAGATGATGGTGGAATTTGGACATGAAGAAGGCCTACTTTTGATTTTCCTCTAGTGCGCATGGGGTGGGTATTATGTTGGAAACTTGGAAAAGTGGAAGTAGGGAGAGGACCAAGATCAACATATAATTCTCCTTGGTGCAGAGGTAGAGAGGTAGGTGAATTTGTATGGGAAGAGAGTAAAGTAGAATTTTTCCTTAATAATTGGAGCGTCAGGTGAAGCTTCGGGTTGAGAGGAACAAGGAGTGGTGGATGTGTCTGTCAGTGATAAGACTAGTGAGGTGGGAATGGAAATAGGTTGTTGAGAAGAGGAACATATAGGGTCTACTGCTTGAGAACAAGAAGGAAGAACCTGTGATAGAGAACCATTACTTCCCTGTGATGGAGAATCAGTTGAAGCAGTATACTGGTTGGCAAAAGAAGGCCTTGGAGTAAGCTGATATGGAGAAAGCCATTCATGAAAAGTGCTGAGATGAGTAGATGGATAAATTGGAGGTGCAGTAATGGTAGTTTGAGGAGCCATTGGAAAGCATAATTCATTAAAAACCACATGACGGGAGATATAGATTCTACCGGTTTGAGAATGGAGGCAATGATATCCTTTGTGAATAGCACTGTAACTAATGAAAACACAAGGTAGTGTTTTCTTCGAAAACTTATTTTTACCATAGTCCTTAAGATAGGGATAGCATCTGCAACCGAAGGCTCGGAAAGAAGTATAATCAAGATCCCTTTTGAAAAGTAGATGAAATGGATTATCCATTTTAAGAGAAGTGGATGGCAACTGATTTATCACAAAGGCAGCAGTGGAAAAAGCTTCAACCCATAAACGTTTGCTTAAGCCAAAATGAAAAAGCATAGCCATACCCAACTCACAGATATGTAGGTGTTTGCGTTCTGCAACACCATTTGTTCAGGAGTTGATGGACAAGATAGCTGCTGAAGCATTCCATGGGCTAATAAAGCAAGTAAAAATTCATTATCTCTAAATTCACCACCACCATCACACTGAAAGACTTTTATTTGCTTGTTGAATTGTGTTTGCACCTTGGCATTGAACTCCTTGAAGCAATTAAAGAAATCTGACTTGTATGTCAATGGATAAAGCCACACAAATCTTGTATAATCATCCACAAACAAGGCATAATACCTAAAATTTTGCATTGAATTTACAGGGGCTGGACCCCATAAATCACTGTGAACCTTGTCAAAAGGTAAAGAAGATCTCACACTAGCATTGATGAAAGGAAGTTTGCAACTCTTACCAAGTTGACAACTGTCACAAATATCAAATTTATTGTTCCAATCAGATACATGAATCTTATTTTGGCTAGAAAGATAAGACAAAATATTTTTATTTGGATGCCCAAGTCATTGATGCCAAATCTCTTCAGATGCTTTCCTTTGTCGAAATGAATAAAAGGCTTTTTGGCAATGCCTTAATGCATATAACCATCCATCCTTAGTTCCGATTGTCAGTGGCTTCCTCGTCTGTTTGTCCTTTATGGCAAAACCATTTAAAGAGAATTCAAAAATACAGGAAAATTTATTAGTAAGCTGTCCAACAGATAATAGATTTTTGGTAAGACTTGGAACCAAAAGAACATCATCAACTCTCAGCATTCCAAAATTTATAGATATATCAGAAGAACCAACATGAGTAATTGGGAGATTTACTCTATTACCTACTGTTACTAAATCATGCCTGAGATAAGGTTGAAGATTTTTAATATACCTGGATCACCAGTCATGTGAGAAGTTGCTCTAGTGTCTGGTATCCACTCTGGATCATGAGGATTAGATACTTGCATTGCAGTTAGAGCTTGTGGAATATCTTCAGTTTGAAAGGCGTGATTTTGTAACAATTTAAGGCATTATGACCTTGTTTGTTACAAATTTGGCAAGGAATTCTGTAACAGTTTGATGTTGCATGATTTGTCTTGCCACAAATTTGGCATTCATTTGGCTGAGATTGACTTTGGTTAGAATTCATTCTGGAATCACTAGACTGCTGAGTTGAGAATTTACCTCCTTGATTTCTGTTCTGTGGTGACTGGATGAAACCACGACCCCTTGAATTGAAGGAGACATTTTTTCCTTTACATCTGTCTATCAGAATTTGGTTCTTGTCTAGCTTTGTTTTTATGTGCAACAAAGACCTGAAAATCATTTACCTCTTCCTTCCTAGGAAAAATTTTATTCCTTGTTTCATATCCTGTCACTGACTGAATGAACTGAGAATAAGAGGGAAAAGGAGGTTTTGCCATAATGGCATTGATAAGAGGCTCAAACTTTGATCCAAGTCCATTCATAGCCCACATAACTTTATCAGAATAAGTTAAATTTTTCTTGATGGCAGCTAGCTCATATCAAATCTGTTTGAATCTAGCCAAAAATTCAGTTACAGACTCGTGGTTTTCTTTGCGAATCCTTTGGAGATCACGATACAAATTAAACTCCCTTTCTTCAGAACTAGGTGCAAAACTTTGTTCAAGAAAATTCCATACCTCAAGAGTAGAGTCCATACCGATAATATGACTAAGAATGTTTTCTGAGACAGTTGCTGTGATTAAACTCGTCAATAGGCGATCTGTTTTTCTCCAAGACTTCTACTCTGGATTTGATTCTTGTTTTCCTTCATCATTGGTAATGAAAGGAGCTGGGTGCGTGGCATTGCTATGTAAGTGATCTAAGAGATCTACACTACTAACAAGATCTTGAATTTGGCTTTTCCAAATCAGATAGTTCTTGGAAGTGAGCTTCACATTCACCATAGATATCAATTGTGGGATATTAGAAAGATTAAGAAAGGTAGACATTTCTGTGGAGGTTATTTGTGGCTCTGATACCAAAAAGAAAAACTAGATTAAGCTAATAAAGAACCTCCTCCCCTTTTCCTGCCGAGGCTCTGTTTTTTATATATACAATGCATATGAATAATACATTTGGTAGACTTAGAATTATAACAAAACCAAAAGTCTAAATACTAGAGATAAGATAATTATGCTTAGCCTATTTTAATTCTATCCTTCAGCTGATTATATGGAGTAGATTCATCATTATCATTTGATGGAGCTTTGTCAGGAGCAATCAATGCAGCAGTCTTTGCTTGAGTGGAATTCATCACTTGAACAATCCTTACTGGAGCAGACTGTTGTGTAGTCGGTGGAGCAGTCCTCCTAGTCGGTGAAGTAAGAGCAGTCCTCCTAGTCGATGCAGCAGTCTTTATTGGAGCAGATTCTAAGTGTAGAGCGGTCCTCCTAGTCGGTGCAACAGTCCTTATTGGAGCATATTCTGAGTTTGGATCACTATATCTAATAGTAATGGCTACATCAACAACTATCTCAATCCAATCTCTATGATACCAGTAAATGTACGTTACTCTCCTCAAGCATTTTCTCAACTTCTCATCGATACTCTCTCCAAACAACTTCAGCTCTCTCTCTCTCTCTCTCTCTCTCTCTCTCTCTCTCTCTCTCTCTCTCTCTCTCTCT